ACTATTGCAAAATGCGATCTATTAAAACCCCAAAACCCCAAAACCCCATGCTGCGATTAAAGCATGAAAAATTTGTGTGCAAAGATAATTGGCCATATACATTAGATTAAGTAACTATTAATGTCACGTGCTTTAATAGATCGCATTTTGCAATAGTGAAAAGTATATATCCTCTCAGTGCTTGTGTTCTTCTAAGAACTTTTCATAGGCTGCTGCATCCATTAAATCATCTGTAAAAGTAGATGAATATTATATATTTCGAAATAGTATAAATCATGATTTGCGAAAATCTTACTCAAATCTTTTTCATCATTAATCTTAATTTGGACTAACCATCCATCAGTCTCAGCATCGGTATTTACAAGAGCTGGTTCCCCTTTAACGCTGTCATTGTGAGCAATAACCTCACCAGTCACTGGAGCATAAACGTCTGCAGCAGTCTTAACACTTTCGATGGCAGTCTAAAGATAATTTTGGATTAATATCTATCATCAATCCTTGTTTGGATAAGTAACCAGACTCTCAAATCATCAAAAAATTACTTACAATACCCTCTCCCTTTTTGAATTAATGACCAACTGATTTTATATCAACATGAACGATATCTCCGAGTTCTCCCTAAGCGTATTTGGTGATGCCTATTTTGCCAGTCTACATAATTGTTAATAACCCATGCTAATTTATTGATTTAGTATTATACCTTAGTATCCTTGTCATATTCGATCCATTCGTGATCCTTGGTAAATTTCCTGAAGATTATTAAAGACCAATACAATATCCTACCTAATTGAAGCAAAGTATCTTGAGTTCATCATAAAGAGTTGCATACCAGATGCAAGTTGAGATTAGGCTTATAGAGCTGTTTTTCTGGCTAAAGTTTTTTGCAAAAGAGTTGAGAACATAGTTAGTATTTTAATATTAATACAATAAAAGCAATATTAAATAATTAATGATTCAGAGAAGAAACTTATTCTCAAATAAAATACCAAACGGGGTTTTGGGGTTTTGGGGAGATCGGAAGAGCGTCGTGTAGGG